GCATCAGCGCGTGGATTAAATGTTTAACCGGCAAGGCTTATGCAAGTAATGAACTTTTGTGAATTGCAGTGTCCCGTACCTATTCATTAACGTGTGATGTCTAGGCTACGTCGCGTTGTACAGATGAGACGGAGGCGCCAGAACTGAACTGATAGAATGCACTGTAACACGATACTACGATATTTCTTCAAAAGCAGATCGTGGAGACATTTTAATCGTCCACGATTAAAAATCGTCATATTGCACACCCCCTTGGAACATTTTTTAATGCACGCTCTGTCGTTTCGCCACCCTCTGCCATTGTATTGCCGCGAGCACGCAACACGCGGTGCTGACGTCAGAAAAGCGTCAGTACATTAACCGGTTATGGGCTATTACTGAACCGATACCGAATCGTCCTCGTCTGCATTGCGATGCACCGTAGAAACGATTAACTTTGACACCCCATCAGGAACTAAAGTGGGCCGGTCTAAGGCATGAAACTCCAGGGCTGAAAATGAGTGCCCACTCCGGCCCTGTGAGGAGATCTGAGTAGTGTGTGTGTGTGCTAGAGGTGAGGAGATCCGAATGTGTGTGTGTGTGTGTGTTCTAGAGGTGAAGAGATCTGAGGAGTGTGTGTGTGCGATAGAGGTGAGTAGATCTGAGGTGTGTGTGTGCTAGAGGTGAGGAGATCTGAGGAGTGTGTGTGTGCGATAGAGGTGAGTAGATCTGAGGTGTGTGTGTGTGCTAGAGGTGAGGAGATCTGAGGAGTGTGTGTTTATGTGTGCTAGAGGTGAGATCTGAGGTGTGTGCATATGTGTGTGTGTGTGTGTGTGTGTTTGCTAGAGCTGAGGAGATCTGAGGAGTGTGTGTGTGCTAGAGTTGTGATCTGATTAACGAACTGATCTGAGGAGTGTGTGTGTGATCTGGTGATGCTCAGTTATTTAGTTTTTACATCGTTAGAGGTGTGCAACGGATCACAAAATTCATGGTTTTTGAATGACGAATGACAAATTTTCGGATCATTTAAAGAGCCCCTATCATAGCATTTGAAATGTTCCTATTTTTGTTATAGGAGTTCCCAAAAACAGTTTAACGTGCATGCAAGGATAACAAACACATTATTTGTCTTATAATATGCATTTATTTTTAACTGATTTGCTCAAGGACTTTTTCCCAAACACCTCCTTTGAGTGACGTGAATCTCCGGCGATTGGTCAAATGACCCAGTCAGTTGTTATTGGTAAACCGTAGGCAGAGACTGTCGGCAACAGAACGCCCATAACCAGGATTATAGCTTGTCAAGTGTTGAAAATTGTATATAGTGTTAGAACAAACGTGTCAGAAAAAGTGCACTTTCCACATGGTCCCTTAAGCCTTTTTCACACTACATGATTTTAAAACGTCAGACTGAACTGTGCGGTTCACACTACATGACTTGCTCTCAGTGAAATCAGGAGTGTTCAAGTTGTTTAGCTGTTTGTTCACACCACAAAACACAACGTGATTGATCCACAACAGGAGGTAACTCACTACACGAGTTGACAACGCACTACATAGAGATACAACCACGATCGGATGATAAGAGCAAATCATTTGCGACTCAATGAGAGCTGTTTCAGTACTATGTTACGGTCTAAATCCTGAAAATAATCAAATAAATAACGAGTTGACAACAACTCTGTCACCCAACGATTATATCTTGTCTACAAACCACGTTTTGTTAAGAAAAAACACGCAATAAATAAATAAATAAATAAATAAATATTGCGCCAATCGGGGTGCAACTACCCAGTTTCAGAGTGGTATGCAGCAACAATTTTAGCCAACAAAAAAAAAAAAGGAAAAATAAATGAATAAATGTAATCTAAGTGTGCCGTGTAATAATAAGCGAGTAGGAACAAATGAGAGCTAACAGATAAAATAAGTGCAAAATTGTCGATTATTAATACTATTAAACTATAGCTACTCCACCTTGATGAACCCCCATAAGAAAACTATAAGCTCCATTGGAACAGCAATACCAGTGTTTCTCACAGGATTTTAGGTAAAACTGTGGTAGGTGGACCTCTGTTTCTCTAGGGGGGTTCAGGGGCATGGTCCCCTGTAAGAAAATTTTGTGTTCTGTAATGTTAAATTCAGCAGTCTGGTGCACTTTGAGAGTTCAAAATTAAAAGCTCCAACCCATATTCAGGGTGCAAATTAAACAAAGAAAAATTTGAACCTCTTTTAGTTAGTGTCTGTCTACATTACACTGCTACATAATAATAGTTATAATATTAATCCCATGATAGTAATAGCCATAAAGGCTATTGTAGGCCTAAAACAAATGCACTGAAAAATAAAGGAAACTTTCATAATTAGTTTTGAACTAATTTATATAATTGAAAGATATAAACGCATAATGACATGTTTCATGGGCCAGTGTGTTAGAAAAAAAAACTAAAGCTGACTTTTTTTGACCAATGCATTAGCCTGCACAGCAAAAAATTAAGCAAAAAACAAACAACAAACAAATGGGCCGCCGATGTAAGAGTTTTGTGGGCCGTTAAGACAAATAAATAAAAAAAGGATGAGATGTATCGGCTGAAAAACCACGTCGGCCCAACGGGAATCTCCCGGTAGTCCCGATGGCCACCAAGATATAGATAGCCTACATGCCTGGATGTCACATTTTAAATCCTACCTGTTGGCTTTCAGCAATGCATGCAGTTATTTAGCTGCTGTTGCATCAATTGACATGCCATCTCCTTTTCTCTCTTTCTTTTTCTTTTTTTAGCCCCACACGGCCCACAGCATTTTGTTTTATCCATCTTTTTCGACGACAACTCACTACTCGTACCTGCTCGCTTAGCGCTCACGGCGCCCCCGCCCGCTCGCGATATTACCCGCCCCCCTTCTCCATGACGGCGCCTAGGCTACACCTGGCTGTTAGTCCTCTAAATTTTTATATAACATTGAAGGAATGCAGAAATGATTTAGAAACGCACAACAGCAGCTACATATAGAAATACAATATAGTCTATATATATATATTTTTAGTTTTTAATTTTTTATTTTTTTTTACCATCGCTTTGGCGCCCCCCATTGTGCTGCGCCCCTATGCGCCGCATATAGCGCATACCCACTTTTTGCATCACTGGTGCCAATACCCAGCGAAGAAGAGAACACAACACGTGAATATGGACGTCAGACAGAAACTAGTGCTGCACACTGTTTGCGCGACGATCTGCTCTGAGAAAAAAATGCAAAAAAAAAATAAAAACTAAGATTTACCTGGTGTCCTCAACCCATGCGTTGCTATGATTGGCTGTACTCATGACATCACTGAGTTTGAGTCGCGCGACGGCTCTGGATATCTAGCAGGCTAGATATTTTTCTGCGAGCATTTTCGCTGCGTTGTTGGCTCTTTCATAATAACAGATTGGCAAGCGTTCATCGTCCGCTAATCCCCCGCGATTTGCAAGCGATAACACCCTACCTGTCGGCGCGCTCAACGATTTGCAAATCGGACATAAATCGGGCTTAAAATCCTGTAGTGTGAACTTAGCATTACTTGCGTTTCCGTCAAGACCGGCGAAACTCACATTGTGGCGGCTTTTGAGGGGCAGTGCTTATTATATAGAGCGAAGTCATATTTGGCTAAGTCATTTAGGAGGTAATTGCCATTTTTCAATGAATGTCTGGTGAATATCAAAAACAAAACTAACTTTACCCCGCTTAGAAGCTGCGCGGAGTGTACACAACACACACAACACAATATAACTATATTGTGCATGCAACAGAAAACATAACATTATTAATATTACTTACAGATTGTGATTCGGAGGAGGACGAACCTGATCCATATACTGTACACTGGATTGCAAATATTACTCATTGCAAATATGAATTCTGACCACTGATTCTTCACATGCTCATACCTGGACAATGGAAACAAGTGGCTGAACTGTCTTTGCAATGTAGAACACAGCGTCTTCTCGACATGATGCGATTCAGCTGAAGTATTTGAATGTGTTCTAGACGTCACTTCAAGTCTGCGCGCGCAGTTGTTGGGAGCGGCCAATGACCTATCTACGTCACGATGTAACAGCTAATAACTCGTTTCAAAAACAATTCATTTCATAGAGTTGACTCTCACTTTTGCAAAACAATAACTTTATATACGGTGCACTTTCAGATATAAATCTTTGCAGGATGTTTTCATTCCCTTAGAGCTATATTCCACACTACATGAACAGTCATTTTCAAAAATCCATGATAGGTGCTTTTTAAAACAAGTGAACAGTCAGTAATAAAATAAGAACAAATACACAAATGAACAGTATTCTAAGAAGTCTAACAATATTCAGGAACAGAAACTAATAATTAATAAAGCCTAAATGTAAAATAACACTATTTGTTTACTGTAGGAATTAAATATGGTTTCATATTTGTTAAAGCTGTGTTTTATTGTTTTATTAACATTAATGACACACACAACAGCAGGAACATTAGTCTGCCGCCACTTTAAGACTCACAGATAATGTGTGAGTCCCGATTTTCGCCTTTTCTTCCGCGTTAAAAATAGTTTGGATGTGTAAATTGCCAAATGATAAACTTTCACTCTATGATGGTTAAATGTAGCAGTTAAATTACTCAAATTACATGCATGTCGAACCATTGGGGAGCCGACCCGTATGGGTTACGATCCGCTGTGATCCACTGCGCCGCCGGGACTATTTTCGTCATCATGCGCCCGCCGGATTTCTGACCATTACAACACTCCCAGAATGTATGTGTTACACTCTCGCCTGCTATGCAAATGAGCCCCACCTACACACCAGCGATTTCAAAGAGTGTTTTTGAGACTGTCTTTAGTTCCCTGAAGTTTTTGAGGAGAAAATACTCAGTAATGCTGTCGAGTGTCGACTTATGAATTTACACATGGTTTGAGTAAAGCATATTAAAAACAGCACTTAGACACAGTGTGTTGTGTGCTCTCTCACTGTCAGTGACTGTAGCTTTACTTCTTCCTATAGACCTCAACGCCCTTCGCTAAACATTCCAATTCTACCGTAGGGAAGTGCGGCCCTACAGGAGACCTGATACCCACGGTACTCTCTCTCTTTCTATCTCACTCTCTATCTATCTATCTATCCATCCATCCATCCATCCCACTCTCTCACTCTTTCATCTCAATCACTCTCGTCTCTCTCTCCGTCTCTCGCCCGTCCAGTCATTCTCTCATCCATTCTGACCGAGCTCATCATCACTGTCGTTCATTGTGTCAGCGTTGTGTATTGTGTGTGTGTGTGTGTGTGTGTGTGTGTGTGGTGGTTAACTGGTTGCAGTTCACTCTAGTTGCTAGGATTGTTCTTCAGTGCATCAGGGTCCCGACTAAAGAAATGACAAAGCCAGATTACCCTTTTAAGATCCCAAATTATCAAAGTGATCATCGATATACGCGTAAAGGCGTGACCTAGTTGTTTCCATGCAATCCCAGCACTGGAACGTGTTATTTAAACCATCAACTTGCTTGTGATTTGTTGAAAGTGTTTGGCTCCTAATCATCTGATCAGAGGCAGTGCAGTGTGCAGTGTTCATGAGCAGTGTGTTCAGTGTGACACTGGTGTGTGCGTTAACTGAACAGATGAAATCTGACGAGATCCTCCGCTACCAGGTCTGGCAGGATCTTGTAGGTCCCCTGACATGAAATTTTCACTTTCTGAGGTTTTTTAACATTAATATTATTAGCCTATATTTGGTCCCCTTGTGTCTAGAATTTTCGATTGGTGTAAACTGAGCTTTGGCTATTTTTCTCTTCTCTGCAGCTGATCTTGAATCTCCTCGTTATAACGTCGTAACGAGGAAAGGTTCTCGTTTTGCCTGCCCCTTTCTCTGCTTTGCCCGCCCAGAGAATTTGGCTCGCCCATGAGAAAATGAGCTAGGAAGGATGAATGTGCGAGCGCGATTTGAGTTTTTCCTAGAGAAATAGCTTTGAGATTTGAGTTTTTCCTCGATAGATATCATGGCTTGCAAACGAGCGAAGCATGGCAGTTGATCAGTGTTTGGATGTACAAATTGAACACAAAAGTATTTTTTAGTTCCTTCATCCGAGCCTCTGAAGAAACAATGGGTTAATTTTACTTTCTCTGGAAATGCGCCGACACAACTTCGACACAACAAAGTTTTGTATGGTCCAAACATTTCACCAATGACCGTTTCCTCAACTCGATGAACGACTTAAAATCAATGGAGCTACCAAGAAACAATTTCTGATGTGTAGCATAATTGTTCAAGTTCAGACAGGTAAGTTAATCTTTCTCTCAAAAACGTTCAATACTATTTTTGCATTAGTAAGTCAAGCCAGTGACTAAAATATCAACTTAACTTTGTTTCTTTTAGTAGGATGAAAATAATCTTATTTAAATTCTGAGCAAAGTATTATTAATTAATTATTAATTAATTAATCTTTCCACACAGCACAAGTTTATCTGGACAACTCGTTATGAAATCAATGACGCACACTGCACAACGAAGCTCTTACTGTATGTACATCATCATGCATTGGTGAAAGCATTAGAGAGAGTGCAAAAACTGTGTTGCAATGGTAAGATCTTCATTCTCGCGATCAACAGACTGTCCTCTGCTTGCTCAATGCTCATCACAGCAACATTTTATGTGATGGGAATAGATCTAAATACTTTAAAAACTTCTCACGATTCGTTAATCTCGATAGCTGTAATAGTAAAAACCTATAATAGCTGTAGTAAAAGTATTCGAGAAAATTTCGCATGTACTGTAATACATAGCTATTCCATATGGAAGCATGTCAGCCAATCACAGCAGTGGCTGGCTACACTTAATCCCACAGCAGACGGAGTGTTCAAATCAGAGGCTAAAATCAGGCTTGGAAAATTGCCTTTTATTACTAAATTATGACTATTTTTGATCTGAAAAACATACTAACATTATAAGGGCAACCCAGGAAACATTATAAAATAATAAAATAACCACATGTCAGGGGACCTTTAAATGATCGTTGTGCAACTGTTTTAGTCACAGGTGGTCGGGACTTCTGGAGTGTGTGTGTGTGTGTGTTGTGTCATGATGTGGTCACTCTCTGAGACTGGATTTTATCTGGTCTGGAATAATTACTCTGTCACTAATTAAATCAGAAGCTTCCCCTTCCCTCCCTCCCTCTCTCCCTCCCGCAGTTCTGGGAGTCCTCTTCTCTGTCATCTCTGGACGCATCGGGTCTGGGTTCTGGTTCTGGTTCTGGCTCCAGCAGTGCCTCCTCGTCTTCGGTGTCGGTCTCGCTCGCCCGCTCACACAAGCGCTCTGTGTCGGGCGTGTCCAGCTACTCGTCTCTCTCTCTGCCGCTCTACAACCAGCAGGTGGATGACTGCTGCATCATCAGGGTCAGCATGGACGTGGACAACGGAAACCTGTACAAGAGCATACTGGTGAGACTGGGGGAGCATACTGGTGAGACTGGGGGGAGCATACTGGTGAGACTGGGGAATAATAAGGAGCATACTGGTGGGACTGGGGGGAGTATACTGGTGAAACTGGGTGGAGCATACTGGTGAGAGGTGAGACTGGGGAATAATGAGGAGCATACCGGTGAGACTACAGGATAATGAGGAGCATACTGGTGAGACTACAGGATAATGAGGAGCATACTGGTGGGACTGGGGAATAATAAGGAGCATACTAGTGAGACTGGGGGGAGTATACTGGTGAAACTGGGTGGAGCATACTGGTGAGAGGTGAGACTGGGGAATAATGAGGAGCATACCGGTGAGACTACAGGATAATGAGGAGCATACTGGTGGGACTGGGGAATAATAAGGAGCATACTAGTGAGACTGGGGGGAGTATACTGGTGAAACTGGGTGGAGCATACTGGTGAGAGGTGAGACTGGGGAATAATGAGGAGCATACCGGTGAGACTGGAGGATAATGAGGAGCATACTGGAGGATAATGTGGAGCATACTGGTGAGACTGGAGGATAATGAGGAGCATACTGGTGAGACTGGGAAATAATGAGGAGCGTACTGGTGAGACTTGGGAATAATGAGGAGCATACTGGTGAGACTGGAGGATAATGAGGAGCATACTGATGAGACTGGGGAATAATTAGGGATAATGAGGAGCACACTGGTGAGACTGGGGAGTAATGAGGAGCACACTGGTGAGTCGAGGATAATAAGGAGCATACTAGTGAGACGGGGATAATGAGGAGCACACTGGTGAGACTGGGGGATAATGAAGAGCATACTATTGAGACTGGGGGATAATGAGGAGCATACTAGTGGGAGGGGGATAATGAGGAGCACACTGGTGAGACTGAGGGATAATGAAGAGCATACTGGTGAGACTGGGGGATAATGAGGAACACACTGGTGAGACTGGGGAGTAATAAGGAGCACACTGGTGAGTCGAGGATAATGAGGAGCATACTAGTGAGACGAGGATAATGAGGAGCACACTGGTGAGACTGGGGGAGCATACTGGGGGAACATACTGGTGAGACTGGGGAATAATGAGGAGCATGCTGCTGAGACTGAGGGGGCGTACTGGTGAGACTGTAGGAGCATACTGGTGAGACTGGGGGATAATAAGCAGCATACTGGTGACACTGGGGGAGCACACTGGTGAGACTGGGGGATAATGAGGAGCATGCTGGTGAGACTGGGGAATTATGAGGAGTATATTGGTGAGACTGGAGGATAATGAGGAGCATACTGGTGAAACTGGGAAATAATAAGGAGCATACTGGTGAGACTGGGGAATAATGAGGAGCATACTGGTGAGACTGGAGGATAATGAAGAGCATACTATTGAGACTGGGGGATAATGAGGAGCATACTAGTGGGAGGGGGATAATGAGGAGCACACTGGTGAGACTGAGGGATAATGAAGAGCATACTATTGAGACTGGGGGATAATGAGGAGCATACTAGTGGGAGGGGGATAATGAGGAGCACACTGGTGAGACTGAGGGATAATGAAGAGCATACTGGTGAGACTGGGGGATAATGAGGAACACACTGGTGAGACTGGGGAGTAATAAGGAGCACACTGGTGAGTCGAGGATAATGAGGAGCATACTAGTGAGACGAGGATAATGAGGAGCACACTGGTGAGACTGGGGGAGCATACTGGGGGAACATACTGGTGAGACTGGGGAATAATGAGGAGCATGCTGCTGAGACTGAGGGGGGCGTACTGGTGAGACTGTAGGAGCATACTGGTGAGACTGGGGGATAATAAGCAGCATACTGGTGACACTGGGGGAGCACACTGGTGAGGAGCATGCTGGTGAGACTGGGGAATTATGAGGAGTATATTGGTGAGACTGGAGGATAATGAGGAGCATACTGGTGAAACTGGGAAATAATAAGGAGCATACTGGTGAGACTGGGGAATAATGAGGAGCATACTGGTGAGACTGGAGGATATTGAGGAGCATACTGATGAGACTGGGAGCACAAACTAGTGAGACTTGGGAATAATGAGGAGCATACTGGTGAGACTGGGGGATAATGAGGAGCACGCTGGTGATACGAGGATAATTAGGAGCATACTGGTGAGAATGGAGGATAATGAGGAGCACGCTGGTGAGGCTGGGGGATAATGAGGAGCATACTGGTGAGACTGGGGTTAATGAGGAGCATACTGGTGAGACTAGGGGATAATGAGTGCCGCACCCCCTTTGTGCACTCACACCTTTTCCATTTAGGGGCGATATTTTTCCAGTGCATTTTTTACCTTTACAAATACCTTTATAAGATAAATAATGCTTTAAATAACCCAATTTGAGAACCATTGATCTAGTTAATTTGTTCTCAGCTGGTTTCAGGTCTTACATCGGACATCAAGTCCCAACACAGTACCAAAACTGTTAATCATAAAAAAGTAAACAAAACTTAAACTATATGAATTACAGTGATGGAATACCATGGGATACAGGACATGCGTACTATACACACACACTGCTCAGATCTTTGTGTTGTTTTATTTATTAGTTGATTGACCCAGCAGTCAATTTATCCTTGCTGAAAGTGAACTTGTGTCCCATGGGCTCTCAGTGTATGATTGTCTGTGTGTGTGTTTGATCAGGTCACCAGTCAGGATAAGACTCCTGCTGTAGTGAGGAAAGCCATGGTCAAACACAACCTGGACCGTGAGCGAGCCGAGGATTACGAGCTGGTGCAGAAAATCAGTGAGGAGAAGGGTCAGTCATCAGAACACACCTGTAAATACAGTGTGTGGTTGTGTATGCGTGGGTGTGTGAGTGAGTGAGTGAGTGAGTGAGGGAGTGTGTTGTCATCATTAAAGGGGTGATGAAATTTTCCTTGAGCTTTTGACATCTAAGAGGTCATCATATTATAAAAATATCCTGTAAGTTTCAGAACTGAAAACGTCCTTATTAGTCCAATAAAAGCTTTTATTGACACACCAGGCTCAGCAAACGACTCGTTTTTAAAAGTGGGGAACTATTGGCGCTTTTCCACTGCATAGTACGGTACGGTTCGGCTCAGTACGCTTCGACTCGGCGCGGAACAGTTCGGATCGCTTTTCGTTTCCACCGCAGTAGTACCCCTTCAAAGTGTGTGGGACTGATCGTTATTTGCGCGCGCCTCTACTGCCATGACATCATCTAAAAAGCGCCACATTTTCAAACCCACAACACAGGAACAATGGAGACTATCGAGGGTATGGTGTTCCTGATTCTCGGTATGTGGTCGTTTTTTAACTGCTAGATGGAAAAATGTGTTTAAAATGAGGCTGATGGCAGCAAAACAAAAATACTGCTAAAAAAGTGTCTCGTGTCTCGTGTCGCAAATCCAATGACGCTAGTAGTGACGCTGGTAGTGACGATTCTGTCTGACCAATCAGTGATCTGCAGTGTTTCACGTCACATTTTAGTACCGGTACGGTACGCTTGGAACCTCAACAGACCAGGTACCATTAAAAGCGACCTGAAGCGAACCGTACTGTACCGTACCATGCAGTGGAAAAGCACCACAAGTGAGACGTACCGAACCGAACCGTACCGTACTATGCAGTGGAAAAGCGCCTCATGACGTCAAAGAGGATAAAACACCACCCCTGCAGGAGAAGGTCAACTCCTACTATAACACGGCCGGTTTAGCCCCGCTCACCTATTCTCGCATTTCACGCAATCACGCATAGCTAAATAACATATGCCTACCTCGTGATGACAAACCGGATCGATCTACCGAGCAATGCAGAATATTGTGCAGTGCCTGGTTGTGAAAGACGACAGTCGCTGCATAAGCTTCCTCTTTATTCCAATAGGACTGCATGGATCTTTATTTTTAATGACGTTCCAGCTGATGAGGGTAAAACATCGTCGTCTGTTTGCTTCATTTCACTGACGATTGTCCTGTAAACAAGACTGGATTTGCAGACCGATTAAGAGTAAAGAACGGTGCTGTGCCGTCTGTATTGGATCTGACCGGAATTGTGAAACACACGGACTTTGGGTCGAATCATTCTGGTTGCCATTTTACAACATTGGACGTTTCAAAACAATATCCCCCAAGTGCATCGACAGGACTCATTATAATATGCAAAACTGTTATCCACTCACAGCAGTGGCCGTTTACTTCCAAGTCTTCAGTGCGAGACGCCTATAAAAATCCAGCGTTTTTCAGGTAGGCTAAAAACTTGGATACAAAATAGCCTATTACTTATATTCATTTGGGTGTTTTTGAATGCAAAAACCGAACGTCATAAGTTCACCTCAGACAACAATATAATAAAATTTAAAAAGCCAGTTCATGACCCCTTTAAACTATCAATACAGTATAAAACAGCTGATAAACAGAACCTGCTTTGATTATTCTGTACTTCTGTTTCAGAGCTGAAGATTCCCGACAACGCCAATGTTTTTTATGCCATGAACTCGACAGCCAACTATGACTTTGTCCTAAAGAAGAGAGGTTTCCCGCGAGGAAGCCGAAGCAAGCACGTGGCCAGCTCTACTCTTCCCCGCATGAAGCAGAAGGGGCTGAAGATCGCCAAGGGAATCTTCTGAGTTTCAACCGGTGTCTGAACCCTGAGTGGCTGGCGGTGCGCTCGGCAAAACCGAGGAGCGACAGGAACCAGGACAACCTCATGCTAATCTGTGTTTACAGTCATTTCTGAATCTCCCAACATTAGTCTGTGATGTCACGGCTGTCAGCTGACCCGGCCCGGAGCATTAAAGCAGCGAGTCGTGGACTACGGTCCCAGAATGCCACTGTTCTCCATCACATGATGCTGTGGTCATCCGGCTGATCACATGACACGCACGCATCGTCAGAATGTTTTCCCTTGTTACGCTCAGGCCGATGAAATGTCTCATGCTTTGATTTCTCACGTTCATTTACTCATTCAGAGCCGGGCGTGGTTTTGTTGGTAAAAAAAAGAGAAAAAGGAAAAGGTGTCTCTTTATCAATGAACAAGATGAACAGAATTAAGTCTTTTATATTGACCGTCTCCATCTCAGCGACGCTCGACCGCTGTATCTCTTCGAGATATCCTGTCTTGGTGTCTGCACTTCTGCCGTGTGATGCGTGGCTTGTCCCGAAACTAATATCCGACAGCGGGGAGGACAGCGGTGTTTCGCTTAGAGACGTTGGCTTGCGGTCGTGATGAACTGCACTGAGAAGGAGAGAAACAACATGAAATGTGAATCTGCACACATGAAGATACACTAACATGAATTGTAATGAGAGTATGTCTTGTTTTACCTGTAGTTCAGTGATGGTTCTCGACTGGATACACACAGCTGGGATACGCAGACCTGCCATATTCCTAGAATCCTTTATACGTGACTACGAGTGTGTGTGTGTGTGTGTGTGTGCGTGCATGTGCTTGTTATACGTTTTAATGTCTTGGTATGTGTGTTCTTGTCTTGTGTTTCATGATGACAAAACCAAAAGGGCCAAAGATCTCTGCGCCTTTAAAGTCCAGTGAGATCAGCACTGCCTGTTCAGGAAAACCAAACGCTTGCCAAGATCTCTCAGATCCCATCGGAAAAACACACATATCTGGTGCCATTTCTTTCTATTTAAGAAAAAACACAAAAGAAAGACTCACACACTCTGGTTTTGTATGTTCTTTTTTGTAATTTTTGTACAATATGAATTGTCCTTTGTACTTTCGCCTTTCATTTGGTTTGTTTGTGTGCGTGCGTATGTGTATTTATTGATTTGTAAATACTTTTTGTAGCATTGTACATTTAATTTCTTCTCCCATGTAATTATAAATTAATATGTAAATATGAATATATCTATTGCGAAGTTTATACCACTGCAAATAAGGGATTGTGTTTCTTTCAGCTTCTGTTCGTTGTCTTCTTTTCATGGTTTAAATTTGATATTGTTTTTTCATTATGATGCACTGTTTCTAATATTGGAGAAGACGACTAATAAACATGCAGTGCGATTCAGTCATAGTCTTGCTTTGTTTTGCTCAACTTGCTGTTGTTTATAAAAAAAAATGAATGTAGAAAACTACAGGAATGTGGTCAGCAGGTGGCACTATTTTACAGAAATGATCATCCTGCACCTGTCTTCTGAAGCCACACTTAATTATTCTATAATTTCTTCTAATAAAGTGTTGAAATCACATGTTCTGCATTACGAATAAAAAAAAAATAGCAATGACGTGTAATCGAACATGACGCACTTGAATAAGAAGAATAAAGATTTCCAAGCTTCATCTAAGTCAGAACACATGGAATATATAAATATATATATATATACAAGGCCGTAACCAGGGTCTGAAAATTTGTGAGGTCCGGGGTGTGTAAAGAATTGTGCTAATGGTTAGGCTACTGGAACCACATTCCCCAATGCACATGAAGCAGCGTACCATTTTTTTAAAGGAATTATATTTGGAATTATATAATGTCATATATTTGTCACCCCGACCAGGTTAGGTTCACAGAGTTAGTTAACGTTACCTCTCTTTCAGAAACGGGCTTGACTTATCCTGCTTTCTCAGGTTTGATACAGTATCTCCCATTCTGAAACAGAAAACCCAGAGTTTCCCTCATTTCAGGGTTAACCTACTCAGAGTTTTCACTTAACCTCCTTTCTGAAACAGGCCCCAGGACTTTTACATTTACATTTATATTTAAACAATTAAAAGACGCAGAAACAAAGTTATGTGTCAAATGTTTTTTATTTATTATTATTTTTATCAATGCCACGAACAGAACAATACAATGAGACATAATCCTTCAAAGTGAAACAAAAACAAAGTAAATAAAGGAAAAGAAAAAGAACAGTGCCAGAGGACAAGAAAAAAAATTATATATATATATATATATATATATATATACATTATATATTACAAACAGAAAAGGGGTGCTACATTATATATCATACCTGTTTACAATGCACAAAAGAGAACAATAAAGCTCAAAATCAAGCAAGAAAAGTTAAGTTTGGAGTCAGACCATTTCATTTTATGAATGTGAAACTTCCCATCAATATTAACAATTGTATAAAGTATGCCTTATCTTTCTCAATCCCATGATTATTGAAGTGTATCATAATTAAACGCTCCACATCAAGCCAAAATAGTTTGGTACGTATGCAATAGAAAAATGAATGAAAAATTCCTTTTCACCTTTACAGAAATTACAAGAGTAATCAATATCTAATTTAAAACATACCAGTACATGCTTTACTGGATATATGCATTATTTTAAAAGAGACTTCTTTTACTTTGTTATTAATGTAGAATTTATCCACTGTTCTCCAAGCATTACACCAATTTACGTCTCCAAACACAGATGACCAGAAAAAGCGAGCTGGGGGTATACAATATTAAAGGTGCAAAACGCAAGTATCTGAGTTTTTGCAGAACTACGCCCCCTCTGGACCTGGAAACTGCAACCAGAGGTGTGCGCGCTCATGGAACACACACACACGCACGTTTGCATGAGCTGTTCATAACCAAAGGAGCATCAGTCGCACACTGTGCGGCACACACCTTTTGTTACAGTCATAATGAGGTAATAAAGTTATAAATCTGCAAGTCATTTAAAATATGAAAGGAAAGGCATTTTAGTTAATTACACACTTGTGTGTGTGAGGGGAAACGGGGGTAGTTTAAAACTTTTTTCTAAGTTTTATGTAAAAAGTTTAAAAGGTTTTATGTGCTTACTGTATCCACTTATGATTGTATTATTATGGAAACACGTTCATGAACAGTAATACTTCGTATAGGACCCGTTTGAGCCCTAGAGCAGACCGGAGATCTCACCATTTGTTGAAAGCCTTCCCGATGTTGACTCTCGTCTTATTCCGACACCTGGCACTGGACAGACAGAAGTTGTATTTTCTTTGTCTCACGTGGAGTTTGCGTTGCGGTTTGGAATGAACTACAAGCTGTTACAGCCCCAACTCTTTGGGGCTGTTTACACCTGGCCACTTCATGCATTTTCTCAGATCTGAGAGCTATCTGATTTATCAAAGCAGTATAATATATATATATATTTTTTTACAAATGTAATTTTACTCTATTTATTAATGTTTTTTCTCAACATTTGTGCAGTTTTTGAGGATTTTTGATATCTTTTAAATTTCTATAAATTAATAAATAAATATTTATTATTTATTATTTATGGGCTTTAAAAAAAAAAAAAAAAAAAACGGCATTGTATGTAAAATTCACTTTATAAAAGACCCAGATTTCTAATTTTCATTCATGGAGATAACATGGATCATTTAACATGGTTTAATGCAAGATTTTTGACAATTTTTTATAAAATGCAATTTTAAAATGAAAAAATATCACTTTAACCACTAGATGGCCATAGACCTCCACTATAAGCTATTCGCTATTTGACTAACCAAACTATATATATTTCACAAGTTTTTCCAGTTGGATTCATATCTAAATATTATAAAATCACAATTATAACAAAAAAACAACAACTTTTTGTCAAAGTTAAGTATTTTTTGTACTGACAAAAGTTTTTCAATAATGTTACATTATGATTAGAATCAAACCTGAACAAGATGTTACAAAGAGAAATGTTGGAGTCTTTCGATTTGATCATTTATTTCAATTATCTGTTTTTAATATAATTCTATAATTTTAAATCAATGTTTCAGTTACGAACTGTAAAAGAATAAAAATTAACAGAAATGAACAGTTATATTACATATTGAAAAAAAAAACATAAAATGCAATGAACTGAACAGCAATAACAAATGAGCATATAAAGCAGTAAAAAAAAAATAAGATCGTTGTAATAAAAAAACGATTTCCTAAAAAAACTGATTGGATTTTTTTTTTTTTTTTTGTGAACAATTAGGAACAATAACTGGTGGTGCACTGGAGGTGTTTACTGTACGGAAGCCCTGAACCGCAACCTAAAAAAACAAAAAAGTCAGTAAAAAAAAAAAAAAATCTGTAAAAAAAAAAAATCTGTAAAAAAAAAAAGATTAAAGTCGAAATGTTTCGAGATTAAAGTCGGAATGTATCGAGATTAAAGTCGAAATGTTTCGAGATTAAAGTCGAAATGTTTCGAGATTAAAGTCGAAATGTTTCGAGATTAAAGTCGAAATGTTTCGAGATTAAAGTCGAAACATTGTGCATTCATAACAGTGCGCGTCCACTGGCTCAGAGCGCGCGCGTGTGTGTGTGAAGTCGAACTGCCATGGATAAACACAAAATAGTAGCTTTTTACTTTTATCTGAATTACTTATCTTACTTTATCGTTATAAAATATAATGCGCCGGAATAGACTTTAGCCTATAGGAAAACCAACACGGAAAACACTTTTCAGACTGGATGGAGAAATCCAGCTTTATGAATGAATGAATGAATGAATGAATGAATGAATGAATGAATGAATAGGGCATTTATATAAGTGCTTTACAATCATATCAGAGAATCTCTCCTCAACCATAAGTGGTTATTAAATCTTAGGAAATCACAGGATCCGGCCAAATGATTGGATACAGAATGATGCACTTAAAATGTATCCAGAGCATATTTACGGTGAAGAGGGAGACCGAACAGTTCCTGTTGTGTTCTCGACCCAGATAGTGTTGACTAGACGAGCACGAAAACACCTCAGAAACACTGCCACTAGCACGTGTGACGTGTGTAGATTTTGTTGAAAGCCCAGATAAAAGTAAAAAGCTACTATTTTGTGTTTATCCATTGCAGTTCGACTTTCCCACACACAGACACGCGCGCGCTCTGAGCCAGTGGACGCGCACTGTTATGAATGCACAATGTTTCGACTTTAATCTCGAAACATTTCGACTTTAATCTCGAAACATTTCGACTTTAATCTCGAAACATTCCGACTTTAATCTCGAAACATTCCGACTTTAATCTCGAAACATTTCGACTTTAATCTCGAAACATTTCGACTTTAATCTCGAAATGCTAGATTTTTTTTTTTTTTTTTTTACTGATTTTGTTTTTTTTACTGATTTTTTTTTTTTTTAGGTTGCGGTTCAGGGCTTCCGTAGTTAACGTTATGGATACAAACAATATTTAATATTTTATTAAGCTGTTCTTGTCTTTACTAAAATCGAAATTAGATAATCAAAGGGAAGAGTGCTCTTAAAGATCACGAGGGAGCGATTTGACCGATGATTTTGGCTAACGTAATTGACTCGCTGTTTTTGCTGATGCTGAATCGTCTTTAGCATACATTCCTTACAAATGTAACTAAGTTAAACGTGTGTTTTTAAACTACACCTGGGGAAACTCACTTCACCTTCAGAGGCTTTGGGGCAGCTCAGTCTCTCCAGTCGGGTTGCAGGGCCACTCCACCGCCCCACAGCAGACTCGCTGTGTTTGTGTGTGTGCAGAGCCCGTCTAACGGAGAGCCTTGGCACTTCCGATTGACTCTGTGCACGAGAAAAATGCTAACTTCCGCCTTGAGGGCGGATGTTGGGTACTTCGGTTCCGGTTGCCGTTGTTTACATCCTACATCAGTGGACCGGCTATCTAAAGCTTAGCTATCTAAATATATTTGTCTAAAACTATGTTCGTTTGTTCATTGTCAAGTCAACCAACACAGTTTTCACTCATATTTGGGTGGAGCCAGGCGCTGCTGCATTGTGAAAAGTAAACGATATTTCACATTTTGTCACCGCACCCAAGCAGTCGCTTTACAGAGTGGAGCGTTGCGTATCCATGACAACTAGAAGGAAGTTTTTAGGCTACTAGCAGTAATTATTTATTATATTATACCCTTTAACCAGGAGAAGCCCCTGGGTTTAGAACCTATTTTGCAAGGGAGACCTGTTTAGAAATATGTGTGAACAGCCTAATATGTGTTAAACAGCCTAACTTGATAACGAACGAACCAACGTCGGATACCTTTACTCCCTGTATGACATGTATAGTGGTTGTCAACACTGATCTATATGACATTCTATAGATAGTGGTTGTCAACAACATAGCCTCT